GACTGCCGGGCGGGCGCGAGGCGGGCGGGCGCAGACTGACTGACTGACTGACGGGCGGGTGCGAGGCGGGCGGGCGCAGACTGACTGACGGGCGGGCAGGCGCAGACTGACTGACTGACGGGCGGCCGCGAACAGACTGACTTGCGGGCGGGCGCAGATTGACTGGCGGGCGGCCGGGCTCAGACTGACTGACTGACTGACGGGCGGGCGGGCGCAGACTGATTGACTGACGGGCGGCCGCGAGGCTGGCGGGGGCGAGGCGGTCGCGAGCAGACTAACTGGCGGCCGAGCTCAGACTGACTGACTGACTGACGGGCGGGCGCGAGGCGGTCGCGAGCTGGCTGGCCGGCTGACTGACTGACTGACGGGCGAGGGCGGGCGGCTCGAACTTCGCGGCCGGCCCCCGCGCGCGAGTCTGTGAGCGGGTTTGGCCCCAGTTCTCTCTGTAAACCCGCCTCCCTCGTCCGCTGCCTCCTGCTGCTGCCTCCTGCTTCTGCCTCTAGTCAGACCCGCGCGGCTTGGTGCAGACGCTGAGGGAACCTTCGAGATCTTTCCGGAAGCTTCGAGATCCTGAGGCGTCCAGGTGAAGAAGTGATTCCCGCCTCACCGCCGAGCGCCGGCCCGAGTTCAGGGCCCCGAAGCGGGCGTGCATCTGCACGTGTTCCCGTGCTCCGTCCAGTCCCCAGGGCAGCAGGTACCCCGCTGTCGAAGGGCCCCCTGGCCTCTCTTCTTCTTAACGTAATTGTCACGATGATGTCCCTTTTTGCTGAGACCCAGGTGACATGTGCCGCCCTCTTGGTTTCAGGTGTGCCGCACAACGACCCGCTCTCTGAGGTGTCTTCCTTCACCTGCCCACCTGGTTCAGCGCTGCTCCAACAGGGACGGCGTGGACGCGTCCTGTCAGGTGGACACGAATCGAGGGGGTTAGCGCCTCTCGGGTCCCCATGCGTCCCCAGGCCTGCCCCCGGGCCCTTGTCTGCCTGGCCCTGGCGCGGCTGGGACCCGTGCCTCTTGTTCCCTGAGTGTCCTGTGTCGCATGGCGGGTCCCAGGCCGTCCCTGGCCGCCCGGGAAGCTCCCGTGGGCGGGCCTGGCAGTCTGGCCTGTTCACCTGCCGTGGCCGTCCTGCTAGCAAGGGCGAGGTCCCCGGTGTGTCCCCTCCGGCCTGATCGCGGCCTCGGATGGAACCCGCGTGGAGTCGCTCCGAGGCCGTTGGGATGTGGCAGGCGAGTCGTCTGAGCCCTGTCGCCGTGGATGGGTGGCTCGCCAGGTGCGCGGCACGCCTTTGTCTCCGCTGGAGTTCGTGGTCTGGCGACAGACTCACCGCACTTTCCGCCCGTCATCGAGTCAACAGAGGAGGAAAGCAGCCGGCCTGGCCCTGGCCCTGGCCCTGGCGGGGGCTGAGATGGACTGTCGTCCCGGGGGCTGCCGGGAAACGTGAAGTGGTACCCTTCTGACAAGCGACTTGACGTTACCTGTCAGACGCCTCGAGAACGTCTCACACCCTCAGCCCGCCATTTCCACTGCAAGGCTTTCTCATGGGGTGTAATCAGGTGGCACAGATGGACGTGCCGCGACGTTTTCTGCCGTCTTATTTACCTCCTGGAAAAGATGGCGAGTCCCCTAGATGGCCAACAGCAGAGGTGTGGTTAGCTACAAGAGGGTGGAAACCGTTTTTCTACGCGTGTTAAGTAACAACAGAAACGCCTCTGGTACGTTTCCAGGAGAAGGGGCAGAGTTTTAGTTAAAGCCCTACCAGACTGGCGAGGAGGCCGGATCCTGTTGAGGGATGTCGTCCCGGCGGCTCCGCCCGTCATTGGTGCGGCTTGCGAAGTCGACCCTTTCGCGCACCGTGAGTCCCAATGATTTGGGATATATATTTATTCTTTAAACAAATATTTGAGTGACTTTGGTGACAGGCACTGGGTGTACAATGGTGAGGAAAACGGCACTCAGAGAACTCACGGCCTGATGGAGAAGACGTTTAATAAAATAGCGGCTAACGTGGAAGCGCTTTATAATGATTAACTCTCTTCAGTGTAAGAGCCCTAACGGGTCGCTGTGATAATTAGCCCCGTTGTTTTGGTTGTCACCACACAACAAAGCACTGCAAAGCCCGTTAGCCACAGCACCAGGTTTGCTTGCTCACAGCTGAGCGGTCTGGGCTCAGTGCTGCTGCTGGCCTCGCCGGCGGCCACCTGTGTGCGCGCAGCTGGCGGGTCGGCTGGAGCCGGGGCAGTCGGGCTGGGTCTCCACGTGGCCTCTGCACTTGCTCCCGCCAGCGGGGTAGCGGACTTCTTACGTGGCCGCTCAAGGTTCCCGAGGGCACAGCGGTGGATGCTGCCAGGCCTTCGTCAGGCACAGGCTGGGGACCGGCACAGCCGGCTTTATTCTCTTGGTGAGGGCGAGTCACGGGGCCAGCTCAGATATGAGAGAGAGGATTAGACCACGTGGATTAGCAGATTAGAAGATGTGATTTGCTGGGGGCCACCACGCCCGTCTTACAGACAAGGAAACCAAGACGGAAGAACATTAAGTCCCTTGTCCAAGGCAGAGCTAAGATTTGGAACAGGGAGTCCAGCTCCAAAGCCCAGACTGTAGACCACGACACCGTCAATAAATCCTGACGAAGTTAATACAGGAAAAGCGCAGGGACGTACAAGAATAACAGACAGCCTTATCTGGAGGAGGAGGAATCAACAAATGACATTTAATCCTAAATCCTGATGTCTGAGTGGGCAAGGGGCTGGGAGAGAGCTTTCAGAGCTTAGGGACCTGTGCAAAGGCCCTGGGGTGGCGAGTAGTACGGAGAGGTCCCTTGTACCCATCACTCAGCTTCCCCCAATGGTTATATCTATGTTATAGGATATAGTAGGTTATATCCTACTGTAGTATAATATCAAAACCAGGACATTGACGTGGCTACGGTGTGTGTGTGACTTCTGTGCCATTGTGTCACATGTGTAGATTCGAGTACCCACCACCCCAATCAAGACACAGGGCGTT